CAAATTTTTGACGAAAATCATGCACTATCTGCATCGATTGCACTGACTAAAGTGATCTTGCATGCACAGCAAAATTGCACTGGATATAGAAGCCATGTCTTTTCAGTTCGCTTGTAGCGAGTTTTTTGTATTTTTGGGTTCATTCCAAGTTCATGCGACCTAGTAAGCTCAGCTGCTTAGAAAAATGTTTCGGCATCACATTTTCGCACCCTAAAACAAAACTGTTTTTGCTAAAAATAAGAATGCTATTTTTAAGTGAAGTGTTAAATTCATAGACTGACGATATTTTAGATGGAAATTTCCCTGAAGCATTGACCTGTGTCCTTAACGTTTTCTTCAAACACATCTTGTAAGTTAAGTCAGAGATAAAAATTTTTAGTAGCTTTTGCATTTTGAATCGAAGGTATTTTCTTGTATTTAGGTAATTAACACAAACTCTAAAACACATCTGAAAGCAAACATACGAATCACGTGCTCAAAATTGGTACAATTTTTTGAAGAAAAGACTGTTTTTTTTCTTTTCCTTTTTAAACTAGTTTCCATTTCTCCGCTGTTTGTTAATTAACAATAAAATAAACTGAGAAAAAGAAAAAAAGAGGAAGGTAGTTGATCACTTGGGCTGTCTGTAATAGGAGATATCTGTTAGAAGTTGAATTTTCCTTTACACTGATAACGATATAGCTCATAGTGGCCTAGTGGGTAAGTTCGCTTTCTTTAAATTAAACACATGGTGACCGCTTCTCTCTTGCCGTCGTGTAATTTAAATTGAGTGATTTATGGAGGGAGCTCAGCCTCCGGTTGATCCTTCGTTGGTGGGCAGTTTTGCTTTTTTTTCTTCATCGTCTTAGAGAAATTTTGACTTAATTTTTTTTCCTGGATTTTTTCCTTCTCTTACGCAACCGAAGAGTTCAAATTTATTTTTTGAATTCTATGGTCGTTTAAAAGAAGAAAAAATCTAGGAAAAAAACTTATAGTCAAAATTTTTCTTAGAAGGTGAAGAAAAAAAAAGCAAAACGGCCCGCTGGCGGGGGTTCAACCGAGGGCTGAACCCCCTTCATAAGTCACTCAAATTAAATTAAACGGCGGCAGGGGGGGAAGCGGCCGCCATGTGTTTAATTTAAAGAAAGTGAACTTATCCACTAGGCCACGCAAGCGTTGCCTGAGAAAGAGGAGCAAAATTATCCTAGAAGTAGGTACAGGGTCTATTGTTCTCAGTGAATCGCATTGTGTAGTCATAATTTATTCATTCCACGTGCTGAATGTTACCTTATTTGTGAATTAATTTCAAAACACAACAAACAACGTTCGCAATTCAAAGAATATTTAAAGACAGTTTACGCTTCAAAAATTTGTCTTCAGAAGGATTTTATACCTTTCTTGTGTTACACAAACGTTTTTGAAGTATAATTCACTTTTTGTTTTAATATTCTTGTTTTGATTTACATACATTGATTTGATTGTAATTCAAAATCGTGCTGAGAATTTTTATTAGTTGTAATTTATGCGAATCCCGTGTTGAATGTTCAAGACGTGAAATTTGTTGGACAAAACAGTTGCTAATTTGATTTCTTTTTCGTTTCAGTTGCAGCGCTCTGAAGATTTACTGAACTAAAGGACAAGCTTGAAAACATCAGTGTTTTCCTTCTAGATTCACAAGACGTTACAACAGTTGTTGAATAAATAAACTTTATTGAAACGTTTGTCTGATCTCGAGTGCTATTTTTGACTGAGTGTAGAACACTATAGTATTTGAAAGTGTAGTAAAATTTTGACTAAGTGTAGAATACTATAGTATTTGAGATTCGATCTAGAATTTTGACTAAGTGTAGAACACTATAGTATTTACTAAGTGTAGAACACTATAGTATTTGAAAGTGTAGTAAAATTTTGACTAAGTGTAGAATACTATAGTATTTGCAAGTGTAGTAAAATTTTGACTTAGTGTAGAATACTATAGTATTTGAGATTCGATGTAAAATTTTGACTAAGTGTAGAATACTATAGTATTTGAGATTCGATCTAGAATTTTGTCTAAGTGTAGAACACTATTGTAGTGTATGTCAAAGTCAACTATTTGGCTTAAAGATAAACAGTATTTGAACGACTAGTAGAAACCAGTATTTGAATACTGTCTGAAAGTAGTGTAAAATTAATTTCACTACTTTCAAACAGTATTTAAATACTAGTTTCTATAGTACTCGTTCGAATACTTACTTGTTTATCCTACGTTCTATACAACAACGAAAATAAACTTTATTACGCAATCTTTACAAATGTTAGATAAGATTTCTTAAAAAGAATCTCCAGGATCTGCTCCTCTCTTGTAATCTGAATGGATGGCTAGAAAAAGAAGAGAGAAATTCATGTCAAAACTCATTTCGCTCACATCAAATGTTGTTTACCAGCTAAAATCCATAGTTTACAATTCTCCATTGTAGTATCGTCACGGACTAACATTCCGCACGGGATATAAATAAAAAATATGACTAATCAACGTTATTCTTTGAAAACAATAGACCCTGTACCTACTTCTAGGTTAAATTTGCCTCACTTTCTCAGGCAACGCTTGCGTGGCCTAGTGGATAAGTTCACTTTCTTTAAATTAAACACAAGGCGGCCGCTTCCCCCCTGCCGCCGTTTAATTTAATTTGAGTGACTTATGAAGGGGGTTCAGCCCCCGGTTGAACCCCCGCCAGCGGGCCGTTTGGCTTTTTTTTCTTCATCTTCTTAGAAACATTTTGACTATAATTTTTTCTTTCCGGATTTTTTCTTTTTTTTTAAACAGCCAGAGAATTCAAAAAATAATAATGAACTCTTTGGTTGCTTAAAAGAAAGAAAAAAATCTCACGAAAAAAATTAAGTCAAAATTTCTCAAAGACGACTGAAGAAAAAAAACAAAACTGCCCACCAACAGAGGTTCAACCGGAAGCTGAGCTCTCTCCATAAATCATTCAAATTAAATTAAACGGCGGCAGGAGCCAAGCGGTCGTCAAATGTTTAATTTAAAGAAAGCGAACTTACCCACTAGGCCACGCAAGCGCGCCTGAGAAAGAGTAGCAAAATTAACGTAGTTGCTAGTTGTTTGAGAGTTTCTCCTTCTGTGTTTAAGTAGCTGTTCCTGTCTCTTTCTTATGCTCAGTGTGAATAAATCCTCTGTCGTGGTTACATCTCTTGTTCATTAAAACAGGATTATATAACCTAATCTTCCCTACCTCTGCCTTAGGATGTTCATTCCCCTATTTCCTCTTTGTGACTTGCGCCGTAGGAGTGAAGTTTCTTGGTTTCTTTTCCTTGATTTCGTTCCCATGGCTTCCCAGGCTCAGTTTTCAGGTCAAATCGTCCGCATTGCTTATCTTTCTGCAAGGAAATCGTCACTAGGTTGGATTATCAAACAAACTATCGAAGTGAAGGTTTCGCAGCTAAAATGCTACGTAAATAAAGTTAAATTAATGTCCTCTCTTGGTGTCAGGATGTGAAAAGTAAGTGAATGGACATTGTAGAGGATGCCTCACAATGGTATGACTAAGGTTAAGTTAAGTGTCGTATAAATGATTATATCATAATCGCTAACTTGCATTTGTATGATTCTGTAATAGTAAAGTTAAGGACGACAACAACGGAAAGGAAAATCACTTCAACACAAAAGTATATCGTAACAAGGAATTATACATTATCGCCCAGCATTTTTGGCTCCATTTTGTTCCGGAGGTGCGCCTGATAGAAGACTAATTTTATTGGCCTGTGTCATCTTAAAAAAAATTGCGATATTTCCCGTTTGCCATCCCATTGTCCCGTGAGTGAGTGTGGAGACTACGGGAAAGTTTTCTGGCAGTGAATGCTGTATACTGACGCTCATATCTAATGACGGTGAATCATGTGTAGTAACGATGAATGCAGCCTGGTGACACCAAATTATGTCTAGTGCCTAACCCTTTGAATGATGTCTAGCGATGATAAATAATGTTTAATGAAGATGAATGATGCGTAGTGATGGCCAATGATCTAGTGACCCTGAAGGATGTCTAATGCCCCTCGATGGTGTGTCGTGACAGTGAATGATGTATGGTGACGTTGAATGATGTCTACGACTAGGAGATGGTGAATAATGTTTAATGACAACGAATGATGTCTACTGATGGTTACTCATATCTCGCAACGGTAAATGATGTCTAGTCACAGGCAATAATGTCTACTTATGGTGACGACAAATGATGGGCAGTGATGGAGAATGATGTCTTATGACGAAGAACGATATCTAATGATGATGAAATTTGTCGGTGAAGGCAAATGATGTGTAGTGATGGAGAATAATGTCCAATCTCTAGGGACGCTGAAAAATAACCATGCGTGTCACTGAATGATGTCTAGTAAAGGTGAATGATGTTTCATGTCGTCGAATAATATGTAGTCACGGTCAATGATGTCCAGTGACAGTGAATCATCTCTTGTGATGCTGACTGATGTCTAAAGACGCGGAATGATGTCTAGTGACCCTTACAAGCCTCGAAGATGTGTAGTAACGGTGAATGAACAATAATGACACTGAATAATTTCTACTGACGCTAAATAATGTCTAGAGACCCTAGTGACAAAAATGATGTCTAGCAATGGTGTATGATGCCTAGTGAAGGTGAATGATGTCTACTGATGGTAACATATCTCCTGTGATAGTAGACGATATCTATTACCGGTAAATAAAATCTAGCAGTGGTGAATGATATCTTATGACAGGAAAAGGTGTCTAGTAAGGTTGAGTAATGTTTACTGACGTGAATCATGTCTGGTGATGGGATATGATGTTTAGTGAAGGAACATGACCTCCAATGACAACGAAGGATGTCTACTGACAGTGAACGGTGTCCAATGATAGTAATTGATGTCTATTGATGGCAAATGATGGCAACTCACCGGGAATGATGTCTAGTGATGGTGAATGATGCCCAGCGTTGGTAAATGATGTCTACTGATAGTGACTGAAATCTACTGATAAGGAATGATGTCTAGTGACAGTAAATGATGTCTACTGATGGCGAATGATGTCTACTTACGGTGAATGATGTCCAATAATGGTGAATGATATTTACTGATAATGAATGATGTCTACTGGCGAGGTATCTCTTCTAATGGCGAATGATGTCTACAGATGGTAAAATGATATCTAATGATGGTGAATAATGTCTAGTGATTGTGGATGATGTCTCGGATAGTGAGTGATATCAAGTGACGGTAAATGATGTCTACTGATGGGGAATGGTGTCTACTGACGGCGAATGATGTCTAGTAATGGCGAATGATGTCTAGTGATGGTGAATGATGTCTCCAGATGGTGAATACTGTCTCGTGATTGTGAATGACGTCTACTGATGGTGAATGATGTTTAGTGATTGTGAATGGTGTCTACAGATAGTGAATTATGTTTACTGATGGTGAATGATGTTCACTGACGGTGAATAATGTCTAGTGATTGAGGATGATGTCTACTGACAGTGAATAATGTCTATGATGGTGAATAATGTCTACTGATGGTGAACGATGTCTACTGATGGTGAATGATGTGTACTGACGGTGAATGATGTCCACTGACAGTGAATGATGTCTATTGACGGTGAATGATGTCTACTTACGGTAAATAATGTCTACTGATGGTTAATAATGTCTACTGCCGGTGAATGATGTCTATTGACGGTAAACGATGCCTACCGATGGTGAATAATGCCTAATGATTGTGGATGATATCTCAGATAGTGAGTGATGTCAAGTGACAGTAAATGATGTCTACTGACAGTGAATGATGTCTACTGACGTTGAATGATGTCTACTGGTGGTGAATAATGTCTAGTGATGGTAATTGATGTCTAGTGATGGTGATTGATGTCTCCAGATGGTAAATAACGTCTAGTGATTGTGAATTATGTCTACTGATGGTGAATGATGTCTACTGATGGTAAATGATGTCTAGTGATTGTGAATGATGTCTACAGATGGTGAATGATATCTACTGACGGTTAATGATGTTTACTGATGGTGAATAATGTGTACTGATGGTGAACGATGTCTATATTAATGTCAACTGACTGGGAATGATGTCTAATGATGGTGAATGACGCCCTGCAATGGTAAATGATGTCTACTGATAGTGACTGAAATCTACTGATAAGGAATGAAGTCAAGTGACAGCAAATGATGTCTACTGATGGCAAATGATGTCTACTTATGGTGAATGATGTCTAATGACGGTGAATGATATTTACTGATAATGAATGATGTCTACTGGCATGGTATGTCTTCTGATGGCTACTGATGTCTGCAGATGGTAAAATGATATCATTGATGGTGAATAATGTCTAGTGATTGTGGATGATGTCTCAAATAGTGAGTGATGTCCAGTGACAGTGAATGATGTCTACAGACGGTGAAGGATGTCTACTGATGGTGAAAAATGTCTACTGATGGTAAATGATGTCTATGGACGGTGAATGATGTCCACTGATGGTGAATGATGTTTATTGACAGTGAATCATGTCTACTGATGGTGAATAATGTTTAGTGATTGTTGATGATGTCTACTGATGGTGAATGATGTGTACTGTTGGTGAAAGATGTCTACCGACGGTGACTGATGTCAGCTGATGGTGAATAATGTCTAGTGATTGTGGATGATGTCTACTGATGGTGAATGATGTGTACTGTTGGTGGATGATGTCTACTGATGGTGAATGATGTGTACTGATGGTGAAAGATGTCTACTGACGGTGACTGATGTCAGCTGATGGTGAATAATGTCTAGTGATTGTGGATGATGTCTACTGATGGTGAATGATGTGTACTGTTGGTGAAAGATGTCTACTGACGGTGACTGATGTCAGCTGATGGTGAATAATGTCTAGTGATTGTGGATGATGTCTACTGATGGTGAATGATGTGTACTGTTGGTGAAAGATGTCTACTGACGGTGACTGATGTCAGCTGATGGTGAATAATGTCTAGTGATTGTGGATGATGTCTACTGATGGTGAATGATGTGTACTGTTGGTGAAAGATGTCTACTGACGGTGACTGATGTCAGCTGATGGTGAATAATGTCTAGTGATTGTGGATGATGTCTACTGATGGTGAATGATGTGTACTGTTGGTGAAAGATGTCTACTGACGGTGACTGATGTCAGCTGATGGTGAATAATGTCTAGTGATTGTGGATGATGTCTACTGATGGTGAATGATGTGTACTGTTGGTGAAAGATGTCTACTGACGGTGACTGATGTCAGCTGATGGTGAATAATGTCTAGTGATTGTGGATGATGTCTACTGATGGTGAATGATGTGTACTGTTGGTGAAAGATGTCTACTGACGATGACTGATGTCAGCTGATGGTGAATAATGTCTAGTGATTGTGGATGATGTCTACTGATGGTGAATGATGTCTAGTGACGGTGAATGATGTCTAGTGACGGTGAATGATGTTTAATGATGGTGAATAAATGTCTACTGATGCTGAATGATGTGTACTGATGGTGGATGGTGTCTACTGACGGTGAATGATGTCTATTGACAGTGAATGATGTCTACTGATGGTGAATAACGTCTAGTGATTTTGGATGATGTCTACTGATGGTGAATGATGTGTACTGTTGGTGAAAGATGTCTACCAACGGTGACTGATGTCAGCTGATGGTGAATGATGTGTACTGTTGGTGAAAGATGTCTACTGACGGTGACTGATGTCAGCTGATAGTGAATAATGTCTAGTGATTGTGGATGATGTCTACTGATGGTGAAAGATATCTAGTGACGGTGAATGATGTTTAATGATGGTGAATAAATGTCTACTGATGCTGAATGATGTGTACTGATGGTGGATGGTGTCTACTGACGGTGAATGATGTCTATTGACAGTGAATGATGTCTACTGATGGTGAATAACGTCTAGTGATTTTGGATGATGTCTACTGATGGTGAATGATGTGTACTGTTGGTGAAAGATGTCTACCAACGGTGACTGATGTCAGCTGATGGTGAATGATGTGTACTGTTGGTGAAAGATGTCTACTGACGGTGACTGATGTCAGCTGATAGTGAATAATGTCTAGTGATTGTGGATGATGTCTACTGATGGTGAAAGATATCTAGTGACGGTGAATGATGTTTAATGATGGTGAATAAATGTCTTCTGATGCTGAATGATGTGTACTGATGGTGGATGGTGTCTACTGACGGTGAATGATGTCTATTGACGGTGAATGATGTCTACTGATGGTGAATGATGTCTACTGATGGTGAAAGATGTCTACTGATGGTGAATGATGTCTACTGATGTTGAAAAATGTCTACTGATGGTGAATGATGTCTATTGACGGTAAACGATGTCTGCCGATGGTGAATAATGTCTAGGGATTGTGGATGATGTCTCAGATAGATAAAACAGTTCCTGAGTCAAAAATCCAATTGATTAGGTAATTAAATTATAGCATAATTATTATCGACATGGTATATGCCGTATAATTTTATCGTTTCCGTTCATATTTCTTTCTTTTTAAATTTGTTGTAGTTGAAAAAACCTTTATTGTGACTAGACCGATGCCTCCCTTTAGAGAGTAAGGCACAATAAAGATATACTATACTATGCTAGATAGTGAGTGATGTCAAGTGACAAGGAATGATGTCTACTGACAGTGAATGATGTCTACTGACAGTGAATGATGTCTGCTGATGGTGAATTATGTCTACTGATGGTGAATGATGTCTAGTGATGGTGAATGATGTCTCCAGATGGTGAATGATGTCTACCGATGGTAAATGATGTCTAGTGATTGTGAATGATGTCTACAGATGGTGAATGATATCTACTGATGGTGAATAATGTCTACTGATGGTGAACGATGTCTATATTGATGTCAACTGACTGGGAATGATGTCTAATGATGGTGAATGACGCCCTGCAATGGTAAATGATGTCTACTGATAGTGACTGAAATCTACTGATAAGGAATGAAGTCTAGGGACAGCAAAATTAATGATGTCTACTGATGGCAAATGATGTCTACTTATGGTGAATGATGTCTAATGACGGTGAATGATATTTACTGATAATAAATGATGTCTACTGGCATGGTATGTCTTCTGATGGCTACTGATGTCTGCAGATGGTAAAATGATCTCGTTGATGATGAATAATGTATAGTGATTGTGGATGATGTCTCAAATAGTGAGTGATGTCAAGTGACAGTGAATGATGTCTACTGACAGTGAATGATGTCTACTGACGGTCAATGATGTCTACTGATGGTGAATGATGTCTAGTGATGGTAAATGATGTCTTTAGATGGTGAATAACGTCTAGTGGTTGTGAATTATGTCTACTGATGGTGAATGATGTCTAGTGATGGTGAATGATGTCTCCAGATGGTGAATGATCTCTACTGATGTTAAATGATGTCTAGTGATTGTGAATGATGTCTACAGATCGTGAATGATATCTACTGACGGTTAATGATGTTTACTGATGGTGAATAATGTCTACTGATGGTGAAGAATGAAGTCTAGTGACAGCAAATGATGTCTACTTATGGTGAATGATGTCTAATGACGGTGAATGATATTTACTGATAATGAATGATGTCAACTGGCATGGTATGTCTTCTGATGGCGACTGATGTCTGCAGATGGTAAAATGATATCATTGATGGTGAATAATGTCTGATTTACTGAACTAAAGGACAAGCTTGAAAACATCAGTGTTTTCCTTCTAGATTCACAAGACGTTACAACAGTTGTTGAATAAATAAACTTTATTGAAACGTTTGTCTGATCTCGAGTGCTATTTTTGACTAAGTGTAGAACACTATAGTATTTGAAAGTCGAACTAGAATTTTGACTAAGTGTAGAACACTATAGTATTTGAAAGTGTAGTAAAATTTTGACCAAGTGTAGAATACTATAGTATTTGAAAATCAATCCAAAATTTTGTCTAAGTGTAGAATACTATAGTATTTGAAAATCAATCTAGAATTTTGCTAAGTGTAGAACACTATAGTATTTGAAAGTGTAGTAAAATTTTGTCTAAGTGTAGAACACTATAGTATTTGAAAGTCGATGTAGAACACTATAGTATTTGAAAATCAATCTAAAATTTTGCTAAGTGTAGAACACTATAGTATTTGAAAGTGTAGTAAAATTTTGACTAAGTGTAGAATACTATAGTATTTGAAAATCAATCTAAAATTTTGTCTAAGTGTAGAATACTATAGTATTTGAAAATCAATCTAAAATTTTGACCAAGTGTAGAACACTATAGTATTTGAAAGTCGATGTAGAATTTTGACCAAGTGTAGAACACTATAGTATTTGAAAGTCGATGTAGAATTTTGACGAAGTGTAGAATACTATAGTATTTGAAAATCAATCTAAAATTTTGTCTAAGTGTAGAATACTATAGTATTTGAAAATCAATCTAAAATTTTGTCTAAGTGTAGAATACTATAGTATTTGAAAATCAATCTAAAATTTTGTCTAAGTGTAGAACACTATAGTATTTGAAAGTCGATGTAGAATTTTGACTAAGTGTAGAACACTATAGTATTTGAAAATCAATCTAAAATTTTGACTAAGTGTAGAATACTATAGTATTTGAGATTCGATCTAGAATTTTGACTAAGTGTAGAACACTATAGTATTTGAAAGTGTAGTAAAATTTTGACTAAGTTTAGAATACTATAGTATTTGAGATTCGATCTAGAATTTTGTCTAAGTGTAGAACACTATTGTAGTGTATGTCAAAGTCAACTATTTGGCTTAAAGATAAACAGTATTTGAACGACTAGTAGAAACAAGTATTTGAATACTGTCTGAAAGTAGTGTAAAATTAATTTCACTACTTTCAAACAGTATTTAAATACTAGTTTCTATAGTACTCGTTCGAATACTTACTTGTTTATCCTACGTTCTATACAACAACGAAAA